CCTCCCTCCCTCCCTCCCTCCCTCCCTCTCTTCCTTCCTTCTTTCCTTCGTACCTACCTTCCTTTTTCCCTTTTGACAAGTTCTTCCACTGACTGGCCTGAAACCTACCAAAGGACTAGCTGGGACAGCCAGGAAACACAAGGATCCATCTCCCTCCTCCCGATAGAGCTGAGATCACAAGACAGTGCCACCAGGCCTTGCTTGGCTGGTGTGGTTTCTGGGGTCCAGCTCAGGGTTTCCTGCTTGCAGGGTAATCAGCTGTGCCATCTCCTTGGGATGGTTTGACCTTCATTTGCTTTAGTATACAGAGGAGACAGTACATCTATCACATACAGGAGAACTGGACAAACTTGGGGCAAATGAAGACGACAAAGAGGAGTGGGTTCACTTCTCCTTTCTCAGGAAAGGGAAGTGGCGTCGGGTAGGGTAGGCATGCCCCTGCTGAAAGCTCATCTGCTCAGATCGCTGTCTGGTTACATAATGCTTTCCCCAGGGTTATGAAATAACTAGGTCCCTGAGGTCACTTGTCTTTTGATTCCTTGTTACCTCGTATGTTCACTTAGCAAACGCATGCCTGACTGCACACCTGAGATGTGTTTAGTGTGGAAATACAGTAGTAAGGAAAGTATGTAGTGCCTGCCCTCCGACATTTAGAGTCGAGGGAGAAATGTGATTGGGAATTGATTAATGAGAACTCATTATGATATCCAGCTAGAGTAAGGGCTGTAAAAGATACCGGGCATGGTAGGTGGATGCCTGTAACCTCTGCAGTTGGGAGGTGGAGGCAAAGGATCCAGAGTTCAAAGTCAGCCTTAGCTACCTAATAAGTTGAGGTCAATGAACTACATGAGACCCCATCTCAAACAAACATGAGAATAATGAAAACTATGCATACATTAACTGAAATAAACCCTGAGGGACGGGCATAGGAGCCACACTCACATTCACACATACACCACACACACATGTAACACACACACACACACACACACACACACACACACACACACTAGTCAAGATGCATCTGAAACCCCAGTGGGGGGGGTATGCAGAGACAGGAGGATGTCTGGCTTTTGCTGGCCAGCCTGTCCAGGCAATCTTCCATTCTGGGACTCACAATCCACTCTACAAAGATCTAGTCAGAGAGGGGAAGAAAGCTTGCCCACCTGGGGACAAGAGAAGGTCTCACTGGGAAGTCCAGGGTCTACAGAGGCAGGCTGCAGAAATGCAGAAGGGACTCTGCAGCCACTGCGGGCAGGGCTTCGTGGAGATGGGGACTCCAGAGCAGGCACAAGGATTTGTTTCTGCCTTCTCAAGCTGGCAGAGCCCGCGATGCTGTTAAATGAGCTAATGGCAGAGCTTGCGCTTTAAAAAAAACGTCTTCAGCTCAGATCTGAGACACTGAAAGGGTGGGCCCAGAGTGGCCCTGCTGGAGGGTGAGTGGCCCAGAAAACAAATGCTCAAGGGACTGCAGAGGCCTAGAAAGATCTTCCAAGAGGGAAGGTGGGCAATCAGGTTCTGAACTCAGCCTGTCTCCCTCGCTAACATGGCATGGCAACGGCAAGGCTGCCTGCGTGCCCCCTCGGGTGGCCCTACCTCACATCCGAGTGTCTGTCCATACCCTTCTGTCACCAGATGTGTGACACACAGGAAGTGCCCTCTTCCTAGAAGATGCATCCAGTAGCTTTTGATGCTGAATCAAGACTTCAAGTTCCAGTTTTAACAATGTCACCCCAAGCCTGCCAAAGTCAACTGCAGGCTCTGGGTTTAAGGAAGACTGTTGGCCTCTGTTCTGGGTGAACCTGGTAGAGTTCACTGTATGAGCAGACAGTGTCCCTAAAATCTTCTGTCCTGGTTGGCTGGTTGTTGTCAACCCAAGCAAGAGTTATCTGAGAAGAGGGGACCACAGTTGAGAAAATGCCTCCATCAGATTGGCCTGTAGGCCAATTAGTGTTTAATGGGGAGGGCCCAGCTCACTGTGGGTGGGAGCACCTCTGGGCAGGAGGTCCTGGGTTATATAAGAAAGCAGGCTGAGTAAGCCTCAGGGAAGAAGCTGTAAAGTAGCACTTCTCCATGGCTCCTGCTTCAGCTCTTGCCTCCAGGGACCTGACTTAGTTCCTGCCTTGACTTCCATGGACGATGGGCTACAGGCTAGAAGATGAAATAAACCCTTTTCTTTTCTAGTTGCTCTCAGCCATGGTGTTGTATCTCGGTAACAAAAACACTAATCCAGACAATGGGCTATTCAGAATCCCATCTTTGAGAGCTGGAAGTAGGTTGAGCATGAACTTCTTTATCCAATCAGATATCTGACAGAGTGGAGATTCTATTAATAAACTGCAAAAGAGGGCCCAGTTCAGTCCTTAAAGGGATCATCACCACACAAGCTGAGAGCCACCTCTAGCACCTGCATAGAAAGCCCGGTGCTGGGGCAGGGGAGGGCTCAGTGTGGAAAGTGCTTGCTGCACAATCATGAGGACAACTGATTAGGTCGCAGCACCCACATAAAAAGCCTGGCATTGCCTTGCATGTGTCCCTGACCCCAGTTTTGTGAAGTCGAGACAGGAGGATCGGATAGCTTTAGGCTCAGTGAGAGGCCTTGTCTGGAGTAACTAAGGTGGAGAGTGACAGAGCTGGACACCTGACACCCCTGGCCTCCAGTGTGTGCCTATGTGCTCCTCACTCGTCCACGTACACTACATACATATATGCGCATTCGCACAGATATACATAGAAAAAAAAAAACGTGGTAGAGATGCTTTTGAAACCCTGGTGCTGGGGAAGCAAAGATAAGAGAATGGGTGTCTGGGCTTGCTAGCCAGTCAGTCTAGCCAATCTCCCATCTTCAGGATCAGTGGGAGACTCATATAGGCCAATGGGCTGGAAGAGATAGATCAGCGATTAAGAGCACTTGTTCCTATAGAGACCCGGATTCAGGTCCCAGCTCCTGGACATAGTGGCGCACAGCCTTTGGTGACTCTAGTTCCTGGAGATCTGATATCCTCTTATAACCTCTTTTGCAACAGGCCCACGCACGGTTATGCAGAAGTGAAGGCAAAATGCTCGCACATAAAATAAACCTTTAGATATAAACCAGGGGATTGAAACAGACACCGGATGTGGACCTCTGGCCTCCACGTACCCACACATGTACACACACAAGGCACACGCAGGGCAAAGCAGGGATTGTCTCTGGAAAACGTGGTCACCCCAGGAAGAAGGGAAATTTGAGGGGGTATACTGCCTTCCCACTGACAGCCTTTCTACATTCTTCAGTCAGGTATTTTCTTGCCTCAGCCGAATTATGGAAGAGCGATCACTGGAAAGCAGGAAGCAGACCCTACCACCAAAGACACTTTTATTCCTAGGTTCAGGCCTTACAGGCAACGTCCTGAAAACATCCCCACCGCGATCACATGGGTGACTATTTGGCTTCACCCAGCAGACCACGCCCAGGAAATGGTTCTTCCAATGGGAGGCTCTACCCAGGTGCTCATTAAAAATGCAGACACTCCCGGCCCAGACCTACAGAACCAGAACCTGCATTTTAGCTGAATTCACAACCCAAAGTGATTAATAACGCATATAAAAGTCTGAGACTAACCCCTGGATTATTGTCTCACAGTAAGAAAACAGTCCTTTACAACGTGATCGTGCATGCATGTACATAAAACTGAAACCAAACTCTCGTGAAGCAGTGCTTACCGTTATTTTTATGAGGGAAAACAATGTGTTGGGGACTCCGGAGCTACATTTCCGAGCCCCCTCCTTGTTCTCAGAGAAATTATAAAGGCCCTGGGAGCAATGCCTAGAAGGTGTGGGGAGTGCTTGGTGGGTTATCAAGAAAAGTGGTATAAGTACTTTCTAGCTTGCTCTGGGAAACGTGCGCTTAGTCACTTCTGAGTTTGAACTTGGAGCCTGGACCTGGGAGGCGGGGGTGCGTGGGAGGGCTGCGAGGGGGGCAGTTGAAAGTTTGCAGAGTCCTGGAAGGGGCCTTGATTGGCGGTAGGAGGAAGGCAAGGGCTGGAAGCTGGAGAGGGCTGGGGCTGGAAGGCTCTCGGGCGGCGAGAGGTCCTGCCCAGCTGTTGGCGAGGAGTTTCCTGTTTCCCTCCCGGCGCCCGGGTAAAGTTGATGAGTGAGTCACTCGCGCGCACCGACCGACGACACCCCCCGCGCGCGCACACGCTCGCCTGGGGGACGGAGCCCCAGCCTCCTGCGCAGCTCTCCTCGGCCGCCGGGGGCCTCCTGCGGGCCTCCAAACTCCCGGGATCGCCGGCCACATCTGGCCCGCACCTCTGCCCGGCGCGCTCGGGGCGGCCCAGGCACCCAGAGAGGACGAAGAGTCAAGGCGCAGCCCGGGGTCCCTGAGGCTCGGTTCGCGGCGCCCCAGGGGCCGGTCTATGACGAGCGACAGGGGCTACCATGGGTTGGGGGCTGCTCCGGGGCCTGTGGCCGCTGCACATCGTCCTGTGGACGCGCATCGCCAGCACGATCCCGCCGCACGTTCCCAAGTCGGGTGAGTGAGTGGCCGGGGCGCGACGCTGGGAGTCCACTAGGGCTCCTCGGTCCTCCTCCGACCCCCAGGGCAGCGATTGACAGTCGGCCGCGGGTCCCGGCGAGAGGGCGGAATCGGGAAGTTTGTAGCGGCCCGAGTCGTCCCAGGCCGGCTGAGATCGCAGAAGATCTCTCGCAAAAGAGGACAGTTCACTTGCGGGAGACTTGGGGACGCTCCTGACCCCTTTGTGCGCGCACGAAAGGTTAGGGAGGCAGCGAGGGCCTGCACCCCCGGAAAGGGAAGTTTGAGAACTTGGGGCTTGGAGGAGTCGCGGCAGGGGACTGGGCGCCCAGCTGTTGCACACCTGGGCCGAGTACTGCCCTAGATACCCCGACTGAACCAGACTCTCAGTCCTCAGTTCTACCACCTTGGGAGGGATTCTGGGCCCCAACTCACTGGAAACAAGTTTGAGAAAAGAACTGATCTCTGAGGGCTGTCATCTATCCCCCTGGCCTGCGGGGATGGGGACTCAATGAGGGTGGTCAGTTTGATGGCTTAGAGTAATTTAACGCGTGCCTATTAAGTGCTGCACCCCAGGGTTAAAGATCTCAGCAGTTGTCATTCGGTGGAAACACCTAACCCAGGATGCCCACCAGGTCCCATCTCAGGGGCAGCAGTCAAGAAAGAGAAGCAGGAATCAGGACTCCTTCCTAAGGACTTGCCTGGGAAGTGCAGAATCTCTGAAGTTTTAACTCAGAAGTTAAAATTGTTGCAGCTATTTGTAGTCAGGGCCACTGTTTGGGCAAGTCACATGACTCTGGGCCTCAGTTTACCCCTTTGTACATCTCCGTGGTTCAGTTTGTGTAAGTCTGGCACTCTTTCCATCATTGGCTTCCCGTGCTCTTCTCTGGTGATTTCGGGACTAGGAGATGTCCAGGGTCGTTTTTGGGTGAGGGAGCTCTTTAAGGATGTTAGCAGTGGAGCATTTCACAAGGGGCGAACCACACAAAGCAAAACAGCGAAACTCCCATCAGGGTTTTAGTTCTACAGTTTCTTAAAGTCTGCTTCAATTTTGCTCTCTCTGATAAGCTGCAGCTCCAGAAAGTTAAACCGTCTCTGATGTTACCCCAGCCTTGACTGGAGACTTGGCTCCATGGAAAAGGACATTGGAATGCAAGCTTGAGGACCTAAGTTCAAATCCCCATATCCATATACAAAGTTGGGTGTGGTTCCTTGTCAACCCGGTGGTAGTGGAAGGAGACTGGAGGCCCTTTAGAAATTGATGGATGCCAACCTGGCTGTAGGTTGGGTGAGAGACCTTGACTCAAGGGAACCATGTGGAGATTGATAAAGCAGAACACCTCATATCCTCCTTTGCCTCCCCACACACATATACCCTCCCCCCAACACACATAAACAAGAAAAATGTTTTAAAAAGAGATGAAAAGAAAACCCATTGGATTCAGCTGATGACATCACACATGATACCCATCCTTTTCTGTATACATAAAACATTTGCTTTTAGACAGGGAAGGAACAAAACTCAGGAGGCCCAATTTAGGTTTTGTTTACAAGATTAAGATTTGTGATTTTCAAATTCCGGGCTCTGTTGCTCATGAGTCATTTATACACACAGTTTTAAACAATTAGCTGATGGGCCTGGTGGGTCTTTTTAATTTGGGCTTTAGATAGTTTTATAAAACTGGGGCTTTTCACATTTCTGTGGAATTGCCTTTCCAGAGCCTTTGGACAATTTATTTTGAGTTGAACCCACGTGGTCAAAGTTCTCAAAGATGGTTTAGAGTTGGAAGAAGCTCCCGGGGAGAGGCTACATGGAATTCCACTTGCCTTTTTTCCACAGGAGGGAAGAGTGGCAGGGTATCTCTGACATGAGTGGTAAACTGTGAGAACAGTTTCCAAGATAACACAGTGCAAGATAAGATATGAAGGAACTAGAGATTGTTTACCAAGTCCCAGTCAGTCCTTAAAAAACAAAATTAAATTCAACCCATCTTATGTTTACCAGACTGCCAGGCGAGCAAGCGATTTCAACACTAGACACATTTGCACTAATATCTATCTATCTGTATCAATCCATCATCTCTCTATCTTCTATCACTTTTTTCTCATGTGCATCTGTGGGGGTTACACATGCGTGCTGGAATAGAGTGGGAGCACACTTGCTTGCTCTTGGGTGTGGAAGCCAGAGGTTGACATCCGCTGCCTTCTTCAGTGGCTCCACCTCATTTACTGAGACAGGTTTCTTTGACAGTACAGGGCCTCTAGCCCAGAGTGCACTGTGTTGGTTTGTCCTGCTAGCCAGCTTGTCTTGAGGCACCCTGTCTCGGCCTCCTGGGTGCTGGCACTGCAGGTGACCCCCTTTCTGGCTCTTTATGTAGGTGCTTAGGATCTGAATTAAGGTTCCCACACTTGCAAGACAAATGCTTTATGGGCTGAGTCAAGAAAAATACTTAGATAGGTTTTAATTTTAAAAATTAGTGTGTGAAAAATTTGTGTCTCTGTGTGTGCTCCTGGTTGCAAGCACCTGGACTTGTTGAGACCTCCTGCATCCCTCAAAAAATTAAAATGTTTGTTTCTGATGCATTACTTTCACACTGGTAAATGCTCCAAAATCAGAAATGACTTTTAGAGGAAAACATACCTGGGAAGCGCCAGACCTCAGAAAATGTGGTTTTCATTTCTTAGGTGCCTACAGAAGGGTCCTCACAGGGGACCAAACCTTGGTCCAGTGTCCCAGGGATCACTGGTCCCTACAGGCTCTTAAAGGTCTAACTCATCTTGTCCAGGTCGGGGACCAGAAATCTTTGAGTCCTGGAGATTACTCTTTAGGCCCTGCTTCCCACAGCACCACCCCCCAGGTGTATTTTCACCTCCAGGCACTTCCTTTAATGACATCTTATTTTTAACAAGTGGCTTTAATTTGGTGCCTCTGTTTCGACTTAGCACCCCACATTCAGGGCCCCTCATTAAACGCCCACTTGACGTAGGTCCTCCGTGACATCCACTGTCTGTTTCGTCTTTTCTTCTTCTGCCATCAAGCTGCCTTCTTTACAGTTTTCTTTACATTTATGAATTTTTATGTTAAATTTTGGTTTATTTATTTCATATGTGTGACTGTGTGAGGCAGCTGTGAGTATAGACAAATAGACAAGAGAGTACACTAAATGCAGATGCCCATGGAGACCAAAGGGTGTTGCCTCTGACTGGAGCTGGAGTTACAGATGGTTGCCAGCCTTCCAGTGTAGACGTTGGGAGTGGAATCCAGGTCTTCTGCAGCAGCAGGATGTGCTCCTAGCAGAGGAATGAGCTCTCCAGCCCCTGGGAACGGCTCTGTTTCCTGAACATTAACAGCACTTCATTAATGCTATCTTCCAAAGTGCCTCATTGCTCTTCCTTCTTCACAGTATTTATTGAATACCTCCCGGGCTGCAGTTCTCAAAGAGTGGGTCCTGACCAACCCTTTCACAGAGTTCACATCTCAGACAGCCTGCATGTCAGATATTTATACTCCGATTCATAGCTGTAGCAAAATTGCAGTTATGAAGCAGCAGGGGAATAATTTTATGGTTGGGGTCACCACACATGAGGAATTGTCTTAAAGGTGACAGTATCAGGAAGGTGGAGAACTGATGCTCTAGAGGGACATTAAGACCCAGAGGACCCTGCCCAGAATGACTGGGACAGACCCCTTCTTACTCATTTCATTTCTCTGCGCTGTACCTGCATCCTGTCATGGACAGAGCACCGGCACAGAGGGGGGCCTAGAACATTGTCACCTTCCCCATACGCCAAATCCCTGGTGGTTTGCTGAATGCACCAGGAGGGTGCGCACATTCGAGATGTCCTTCTTGGTGCCTCTGCGTGTGTTTCTCATTGCTGTGTTCTTACTTCACTGTCTCTGTCTGATTACAAGCCAGCCAGAAGACCTGCAGTCCTCATTGGTTCCTGTTACATACACTGGACCAAGTCGTCCAGCCTATCTTTCTGTTGGATGGGCTGGAGGTACGGTGAGGGCTATGCACTGCAGATCAGGTTGTTTTGGCTTCCAGTCCTGCCTGTCCCTTTCTGGCTATGTAGACTGTGAGTCCTTTGGGCTTGTATTGTAAAACTGGGATGATAGACTTGCGGTAGGGTGGGACAAAATAATACTTTCAAGTGCTTAGCTCCATGTTCATGCCCCAAAGACGACAGGTCTGGTCATTATTAGCTCTTCAGTCACACCTGGCAAAGGCCCCACTGACCCTGTTCAATCTGACTTTGCATGCTACCAAGACCTACAGCATCCCAAGCCTCATTCTAGCCTGCTGTTCCTCCATTCACTTTCTTCTGCCTTCTGCCTCTCTTTGGAAGTTCTGTCCAACTATTTTTTCTCATCTTTGAAGACCTACCTACTTTGGACCTTATAAGGAAACTTGCTTTGGGTGTGACAAGTGGGCCAAGTGTCCCCTTCTCTGCTCCCTCTCTGTGCCTAACAGTCATCTTAATGTGATTCCCTTGTCCGCCGAGCCTTGCAGCCCCTCAAAGGCAAGCAAGGTCTGTTACTCAGAGACTGGTCTCCAGGGTCACCCCAGGCTGACACATCATTTTTCCAGGAAGGGCTGAGCTGAGCCCTCTTCATCCTGCTGGGAAAGTGTGACTGGGACACTGTCTTTACTGCCCAGGCAGACCCTGTTATGGTGGCTTTGGTCTTGAATGGTTGGAGTATCTGGTCAGTGAGGCTTTTGGTTTGGCTTTGCAGCACCTTCGATTGAGCCCAAAGCTTTGTGTATGCCCCATTGGTATTTTGGAGCTTGATCTCATTAAGTTGCCACAATGGGCCTTACGTACCCTGGGGTAAAGCAGCCTTTCATCCTGCTTTACTTTTGCCTCAGCCCTTAATAACCAGGCCTCCAGGCCTGGGCCTCCAGGCTCAGCTTGGCTATTTCTATGCTATGTAATCAGTTCCTATATTCTGACCAAAGATAGAAAAAGATGTTTTGACCCCTGACATATTCTTAAAC